TCTTATGTCAAAGGACGAGGTGGTCTTGGGTAGAGGTCAAGGTTTCACCAGTGGGATTCACCTGTAGAACCCTTCCTAAAGATGCAGGTGTGAATTCATAAAGTGTGTGTTGGATGGTTTGGCTGAGATTATAGTAACAGTTTACTTTCCAGCTTTGTGCTCAATGCCATAGAGCTAATGAATTTCTGTAAAGTATCTGGTGGTTCCCTGTCAGTATTCCTGACATAGCTGTTGGTGAGTATGGTTTCATACTCTTGCTAGAAGTGAAACTTAATCTGCCTTAAATGTGTAATTTCCCCTCCCTGAGAAGGTCAAAGGCACATTTGTACAATTCATAGCCACATAAAAGGGGCATTCAGCGCCTCCCTGCCAAGCCATTTGTGTAGACTAATACCTGGTCATTTTCCACATCTACCTATAGGAACTGCAGAAATTCATAGTTCTGCTGTGTTCCTTGAAGCAATAATCTCATGGAAAATGATAATTATGATAAAATATTCATATTATCAAATCAGTTAATGTATACTGAAATTGGTAGGAGTAAAAAGTAGCTACTTAGACTGGTCAGAATTAAACATATGCTAAAGCCACTGAAATTAAAATAGGACCTGCAGGAAAACACCATTTGAAAGAGTAGCAATTCATTCTGTGTGCAGATTCTGAGAATATTTAAAGCAAACCTCAGTGTTTTCACAGTGTTACTTCATTGGGTATTTTTCTATCTTCTGGTATTAACTCTTTGATGAGATTACCGAGACAATGTTTATTGAGACTCACTGAATAATAAACTCTTTGCATTTGTATTACATCTTGACAGTTCTGGTTTCCATTTCTCTTATTCATAGTTTTGGGGTTTTAATTCTTAAGGGAACATAAGGATATAAGGATGCTATGACAGGTGTTTTGTTTTGTTTTGTTTTAAATGAAGAATAGAAAACCTGAGAGACTTTGGAATTGACCCACATTTGCAGGATTGCTCAGACTACTAGATATAACACAGTTCTATGCAAATGACCATACCCTGCCACTCAGGAGATTATGGGCACAAGAAAACATTGTTTTCTCATTTGTCTACATTTCATGTTCTCCTTTCTGATGTGGGACTTTTGCTGTGGTCAGGTCTGCCTTCTCTGTCTTCTAACACTACGCACAAGCCATGCTCCTAGTATTGAACCCTATTGCTCATCCTTTATCTCTTCCACTCTCTTCCACCCTCTCTGACTGTCACCTATACTTCAGATTCTGCTTTTATCCATCTCATGCATAGCATAGCAGTCACTGTGTGCATATCAACTAGTGTGTGTGCACATGCGTGTGTGCACTCTCATGCACATGTGTGCACTTACATGTGTGGGAGCACCAAGGTGGCTAGGCTAGTTGATAAGCGCGCACCAGGGCTCCACTTGTCTCTGTTTCCCTAGTAGTACTAGAATTACGAGCCTCTGTCCCAAAGCCTGACTTCTTTGACTTGAATTCAACTTTCTATGCCTGCAAAACAAGCATTTTACTGGCTGAGCCATCTCCCTAGCTGACATTCTAACTTTGAAATAAAATTGTTTGCTTACATATTACTATATTATTGTGTGGCTTTTCTGTGTGCATAATTTATCAACTGTATCATCAGTATGACTGTTATGCATTTTATGCTAACACATACTAATAGATCATTAATTTCTTAAACAGTGGAAGATTGCTCTTCTCTTCACAGATAAGCAAGTAGAAGACAGCTTTTAAAATACAATTTTGTAATTGGTGCAAAATTGCCATTTATTCTTTATGTTATTTCTGGAGGGTACTATGAATGTAGTATTTTGCCAATACTAGCTAATATTTTTTGGAAACTTTTTATAAAGTAAAGAAATGGACAGTTTCTGTAATTCCTGCTAGATGTAGAGGGAACTTGTTTGCTTTTTCTCATTTTTGGTGTTTCTTAGTGAAAAAGGTCTGGGTTATGAGGAAATGCTAGGGGGTGGGAAGGTGACAAGATCAAATTTGCATGTTCCTTTAAAAGATTTCCATTCTTAGTATAGCTGACATTTGTAATGCCAGTAGAAAGTTGGTGCCTGGCCAAAAATGCTTGTGAAATATTTGTGGTTTAGACTTCAACTATAAAAAGACAGACAGGTAATATTAACTGAAGGGATTATTTATTCTTTCTTAATGTTACCAGTCTCATGCGTGCACACACATACATGTGTCCTGGAGATAATCTCTCTCCTTATGAAGATATTTTATTTCAGTGAATGGTTTAGCTGGAGATCAGTGCATGCCTTTTCTAGATCTGGTCTGTGGTAGACCACAGGGACCCGAGGTATACTATTCATCGGCTAAAACTGCACACCAGTGGGCCTAACAACCTCACTCTGCATAACCATGGACTGTATTAGATGCTGCGATTCAGGAGGTTAGAAGAGTATATAGAATAGGGGGAAACACATGTACAGGACAGGGGAACCTTTTTAAAAAATAAGCATGAATATACGTTGCAAACATGAAAAACAGAGTTTAGAGTTTGTATTTCACTTTACCTATAAATATGCAGTGTTATGTAAAAGAGTAAATTGAAGAAAACAAATCTTATTTCTGTAAAAACTTAAGACAAGAAGTGTCTTTTAAAAAATCTGTATTGTAAAGAAAGATATATATATCTTTATTTACAACAATATATATTATATATGTATATATATATATATTGTTTGGAAAATGGAGGACACTAAGCAGATTTAGTTACTGGTAGGCACTAGAACTCTTAGATTGTAGAATGGGCTTGTTTTGGCTATTAGAGATTATAGTGACTCAGTAGAGTTTTGTCTCTTTAAATCAGAAACATCATTAGACATAATAATTCAAAAACTTGATGCTTCATAGTCGTCCTTTACCCTTTTTTTCAGGTGTAAAATCATGAGTTTTCTGTTTTCAGAAGCTTGGAGAAAAAATGTTTCCTTTTGTACCAGTTTGACTCTATTGTTGTTCTTGAGCTATATAAATGGAGAGGCCTTTGCATCGTGCATTGTATCATGCCCAGCCATTTCTTTTAATTTGAGTATAATTGTTTCTTAGCAAATAATTGCAGTCCAGAATAACTTTTATTGAACTTGATTGAATTAGGGGTATGTATGAGAATGACTTGGTTAGCTTAATCTATTATCCAGAGAATTGATGAAAACATCAGAAAAGCAGTCATTCATGGGGAATAAATATGCTTCTGTGTAAGTGGGCACATAGTTACCTTGGGATCCTTTCTGCACTGACTGAATAGTAGCAACATCGGGGTGCATAGCCAACAATTTTGGCTTAGAAGTTTTATTTTGTTTTGTTTTGTTTTTGATAATATACCTTTGAATATATGCTATGCTGGACATGAACACTAATTAGAGGTCTGTCTCATGGTAATAAGTGAGACCTCACATCTTCCAGTATCACAAGATTTTCGATACCCAGTTCCCCAAGGGCTGGACTGTGCCAGAAAGCTGCTTACTCCAGGATATTTCATCAGTTGATTAGGCTGTCCTTAGGATAGGTTTGTCACTTGCACTGTTTGTGATAAGAGGTGAATAATAATATTTAATACATGGTATTTTCACTTGCCATGATAGCTTCTCAGAGCATATCGATGTTAAGATGTTTTATCTCAGGGTTGCCCTGGTAGGCAGAATCATGGGCGTGGAGCAGAGGTCTTGAAAATGGAAGGGGCACCCATTGAGCCAGTGGGAGCTGACCATGGAAAAAGTTAGAATTCTGAGGTTCTTTGAGGGTGAGTAGGGATGGTGAATAGAAGGGGTTGAAGGAGGGAAAATGATATAATATTTTAATTAAAAATATGCCAGGCAGTGGTGTCACACCCCTGTAATCCCAGCACTCGAGAGGCAAAGGCAGGTGGATTTCTGTAAGTTCGAGGCAGCCTGGTCTACAAGAGCTAGCTCCAGGACAGGTATCAAAGCTACACAGAGAAACCTCATCTCTAAAAACAAGCAAACAAATAAAAAATATTACTAAAAAAATGACTGATTTAAAAATTTTAGTCTTATTATTTTCAGATATCTGGAGATGACTCAGTAGTATCTGGTGTGAAATAATATGAGATCATTTAATTTCATTATTTTCTCTGCTAATGGCAGTGACAGTCACTGATTTCTGACTGAATGACTTCATTGAATTATAGCACAGTTTTGATATTTTTACATATCCATGTTGACTGATTAAGAAAAAAAAATCAAAAAACATTTAGATAAGCCATAAAATAACTGATTAAGGAGCTCTAAGTCAGTAATTAATATTCAATATGTATAGCATCTTTTCTTTCTAGTTGAGTATGGATTTATTACCACTGAAGCAAGCTAGAAATTATGTTTCAAAAAGAACCTGAAATAGCTGATTCTTAAACACAGTATGATTTCAGAATACGTTTGTACTTCTGTTTTAATCTCTGTATCATTGGGCTTCATGTTTTGTTGCTGATTTGACTATCTCCCATTTTCTTAGTTCTTGATAGTTAGACAAAAATTACTTTTTTGTCCCAAGTTTGATCTGTGCCCCTCACCCCTAGCTGTTTTCTTTTTTGTTCATTTGTATCACTTTATTTCATTCATTATGTTTAAATTATTCAAAAGAAATCAAAGACAGTACTACAGAATTCAAGTTTCTCTAGCTGAGTTGGGCCAGTCATTTAAAGTAACTTGAATTTAGTGCGAATGTCTAATTCACAGTTTCCAACCGAGCAGGAGGTTTGTCTGTAAATCTCCATTTCATTTTAGCCAAAGTTGGGGAATTGACTGCCTATAATTCTGAGTCTAGGTAACTTGAATAATTGTAGGGATATTGTCAATGATAAACAGTTTGGGTCATTTTCTCTAAAAAACCAGTAGTTAGCAAAGGGATATTTGCCCTTTTATCTGAGCAAATATTTTTATCCTTTTATTTGGTCAAAGGAGATGTGTGGTCTTTGTTTGGAGGGCCTTTGTGGCTCTCATTTTAACCACTTTGCTATGTGTCTCCCACAGAATCCTGCTGCATCACAGAAGCCGGAAGTTCTGATGTTCCATTGAGATCACAATGGAAAGTCTTGACTTGACTGGTAAGAGCTGCTCTGGACATGCATCTTACTTACATACCTGGAAGCAGTGAGGCAGTCAAGAACCATGTGCTCTCAGAGCTGGTCTCAGCCTTTTCCCATTCGATGGATTCACCTTCCATATTGATCCGGGAAGTGTGATCCATGTACAATTTCTCATGTCAGTGTTTTTGTGTGTAACATTTTAATCTTCATCAAGTAAGTTAAACTTCTTATAGAATCATGAATTTTAACTTTGCAAAATCTCTTGTTTCATTACAGCATGTGTTATTGGTACAAGTCAATCTGTTGAAGTTCGACATAAATTGCCCTACTAAAAGATACCTAAGTGGTTAATCTGTCTTGAAGCAACTTTTCATACAGTATTAACCTTAGGTAAAAGATGAACCAGCGGCCATTATTACCTAATAACAATAATATACAAGTATGTGGCTGTACCACTTAAAGTATGAAAACACTTAATCAAGAAATGTTTGGGATTGTAAAATAATGTACACATGAAAAATTGTGTCATCCTTTGAAACACAATCTGTCCTTTTGTACAGATTATTTTTTTAAACTGTTGCTTTAGAAAAAAGTTCTTTATCAGCTTTAAAGTATGGTAACAATATTTTAAAGTTAGTTTTAGTAATAATGATATTGTAGTTTTCCCAGTCTTGGAATAGAGTATATGATTAGTGATACATAAATACTGTGTGGTGAATAGATGTTTTAAGATTACGGAAATTAGTGTGAATTAACATAACCAAGTATATTACATAGTCCTATCACAGCTTTTAAGAAAGATACTGAACTTTCCAGAATTTTTTTCTGTTCTAAAACATTTTTGTAGCCTATTAAATGTCTAATATAATTACATCTACTTTAGTCTTTGAAGAAGTATATTATTGGATGTTACTCTTTTGCTGGATGGAGCACAAATATATTGCTTCTATCCTTTTGAATGTCATTGTCTAGGTATAACAACTAGGAAAAGCATATAATTTTATTTAATATATATTATAAGCACATTTAAGCACCAACAAAATCTTACTATGATTAAGAGCAGGCTTTTGTTACTGTTTTTCCTCCGCAGTGTACCATCTTTTAAGGTTTCACTTTTAGTGATATAAATTCTGACTTTGAGAAGGCCAATTGAATACAAGCTTTTACTGAGTCAGTAGGCTACAATATGGAATATTTGAGCTTGGAAAATGTTCTGTATGTTCTTTATTACTAATCCGATGGAGAATTTAGGGAGGCCTAAAGAAAAATTTCTGTCAGTGAGTCTTTTACATATAATTTCATATGTTAAAAATAAGGCAGGACATTTTATTTTACCTGTTCAGAAAACTAAGCCATAAATAGACCATTTTATAACAAGTTTTGACTAAGTAGTCATGTGACCTTTGATTTATGAATGAACTAATCTTTTGCAATAAAAATATGTTACAATGACTCTAAATAGAAATAGTAGACAGAAATTTAAATTGTTGATAAAGTTTAAGGTGAAATTTAATTGGAGATATGCTTCTAGCTTATATTTATATGTGTGTTTATGTACATCTTAAATACAGTAATAAGAATCAGAAAAGATGACATACAAAATCAAGAGTAATCTAGGAATTGACAAATGGATGTTAGGGTCTAGTAAATTGAGAAACACCAGTCAGCTTAACCAAAGATATGTTTCATTATCAAGTGTCTTAGCCAGTGTTGTATTACTGTGAAGAGACATTATTACCATGAGACTTGGGGCTTGCTTGCAGTTCCAGAGTCCATTCTCATTATAGAAGGGAACGTGGCAACACACAGGTAGACATGGTGCCAGAGAAGGAGTTGAGAGTTAAGCCAGCGAGCAGCAGGAAAAGAGAATGACTTTGGAATTGGCATGGGCATCTGAAACCTCAAAGCCCACTCCTAATGATACATCTGCCCAACAAGGTCACTCCTCCTAGTCCTTTTAAATACTTCCACTCCCTGAACACTCAAACAAATGAACCTATGGGAACTGTTTTTATTCAAACCACCACATGGAGTTCCAAATTTCGTGGTATGTTAGGGTAAAAGTTATTTTCCTTTTTTGTTCACAGTCATAGCTACTCATGCTCTTAATTCAGGGAAAGAAACTGAAGGAGCATTACCTTGTGAGACACAACCTTAAGGCTGAAAGAACAGCAATTGCAGATTCATAGCTTTAAAATGACTGTGTGGAGTGATATATGCCATTGTCTTTCATATTTCATTGCCCTAAACAGATGACTTGGTCAAAAATGCTCATCTGGGAGTGGCTTTGGAAGTGGAGTAGGATCAGGTGGGACAGTTTGTGTGTATGTTCAAAATAACCATCTTCTGATTTTCTTTAGTGAGACAGAGTGTACTTAGGTTTAAAATTACAATAGGTTTAACATTCCAAGCAGTCCTTCAATAGGTGCCTGTGTTTAACATAAATTACCTGAGCACAAATATATTTGTTATGTGGAATACTATCTCTGCCTAGTTTTAAGAAATGAATCGCTGACATGATTACTAATTCTTTTTTGTTTGTTTGTTTTTCGAGACAGGTTTTTCTTTGTAGTGTAGTCTCTTAGAAATAGCCCTGTAGACTAGGCTGGCCTCGAACTGACAGATCTGCCTTCCTCTGCTCCCTGAGTGCTGGGATTAAAGGCTTGCGCTGCTGCCACCGAGCTACTAGTTCTTTTATGTTTGAACTTTAGACCTTTGCCCATCACTTTCTCACATGCACATATAACTGAGATTATTATCTAATAATTAGTTTGAAAATGAACAAGTAGTGCTGTAGACTGGACTGTCTGCAGTTTGTATATAGAATTGGGAAAGGAAAATATGCTCATAATAGTTTATGACTTAAGTTTTATAAGTTCTTTAAATCTTAAAGGGATTCAAATATGTAGCCTAGGCTTATCTTAAATTCATGATCCTCCTGCCTCAGCCTCCCAAATGCTGAAATTAAAGGTATGCATCATCTCCTCTGCCCCCACAGAACTTTATCTGTACTGCTGATATACAAAGAGAAAGAGAAAATGAATACTTTATTTTTTTTAAGTGTAATAATTTTGCCAGATGGGATTATAGCCAAATGCCTCTTGATTCTTAAACTCAATTTCAAGAATAATTTTAGTGGTGAAGAATGCAAACCATTCTGTTTCCTATACTAAAGATGAAATGCAAACACAAAGTTTTCTAATTTATTTAATTCATAAATAAGAAATCTGGTTAATTATGGTCCCAGATTCTATAGTTTAGGTACCTTTGCGTTAGGAGACATTTGAAGTTGCCGAGTTTATAATTTTATGCTATAAAATCATTGTATATGATATTGAGATTGCTGTAAGTGAAGATATTAAGTCTAAGAACTTGAAAAACAGAGAACCAAACAGATTAGTAGGAGAATTACATTCTTATAAAAATGACCACCGTCTGTATTCATTGCTACCTAGCAATAGCAACAAATATTTAAAAACTAGGTTGAGGAACAAGAGAATTATGGTTCTGTTTACTCTCGTCAAAAGATTCCTATTTTTTCAAGGCAGTATTCTTTTACTTTGCAGAACAGTTGAGAACCCAAATAGCAAATCGGCATATATTCAAGGTTTAGATAAAGAGAAAAAGATTTGTGTGTGTGAAGTAATACAGTAGAAGTCAAAGAACCTTAAATCACGTCTTTCCATCTGCCTTTTCTCCTTCTTGTCCTTTTCCCTCTTTGCTGATGACGTCTGTGTTAGCTGTTTTTCTCATCACTGACGAAATGGGTCTGGAAAGTGCTCAAGGAGAAGAGGTTGTTTTTGGTTCCTGGCTTAAAGAATATAGGCCATTATGGTAGGGAAGGCATGGCATCTGGGCTCCACTGGTTATATCTCACTGGACCAGTTTACTGAGAAAGGGCCACAGCTAGGCCCTGTCTCATAGAAGTTCCATAGTCCCCTAAAATGGCACTGCCAGCTGGGGACCACTGTCCCCAGTAGTTTGAAGCCCTCAAGTATTAGTCTAGATGCCATCCACTGAGTATGGACGGCTCCTTTTTGTTATGTGATGGTACACTTTTTCTGTTACACGCATCAAGTGGATTGGCATTTGGTATTACTTGTAAGTAGTACATTTGCTTGTTGTATATTAATACAGCATTTTTTTGCTGTTGGTTTTGCTAATAAATGTTTGTGAATATTTTCCGTATCCCTAGAATACTGTTGATTTGACATCAGTCTGAAATGAAATATAATCAGAAAGTAATATACCATTGAGTTAAACACTTCCTATGTAAAATAACTTTAATTTGTAAGATTGTTCAGGTAATTTCTATATTTATAAACTATAGGGTAAACTGAGAGCAGTGATATTATTCTGTAGATGTCACTTTAATGGTTAAGAAGCATTTTAGCTTCTTTGTCCTCTTTTGATTTGTTTCCCATAAAAACTATTTCTGAAATGATTCAAACTTGAAAAGGGGGGGGGAAGAGAAGGAGCTAGACATGTGTTTTGAAGAGCATACCCCAGTGATCTGACTTCTTACTAGTCCCCACAGGTTCTGTAGCTGTTCAATGGTCCCACACTGGGGACATAAAGCCATTATCCATTGGTCTTCAGGGTATATTATAGATCTAACTGTAGCAAGATAAAAACTGTAATTTTGTATCTCAGAATTACTGTGCATTTCAATATAAAATATGTACTACATTAACTGAACACTATTCACATATGAATTTAGTATATGTATATTCTACACATGTAGTTCTCTTCAAGTAGTTAAGAGGCTTAAGTTTATATTAGGGAGTCTGCATGACTGTGGTACTATAACCTGCATGTGGAAGTTACTCTGGTAACATTTGGCAGATTAGTGTCATCCAAATTCATATTCTGTTTAATACTGTATTCCATTAAATTTAGTGTCAATAAGCACCAAATTATTATTATACATTATATTTTATAAATAATACAGTACAATGTTAGTATATAATTTATCTTATATTTGTGTACTTATTTTCTCACCAGCTGAACTCAAGAAG